TAATTTATAAATTTATAAAGGATTCGTTGTTTGAATTTCTAACCTCTATATTCCGTTAATGAGAACCGATAATTCCTTTAATTCCCTTTTGTCAATTGCGATCACCTCCTTCCATAACAATCGTAAAAAACTGCAAATAATACAATTTTTTATAAACCATTTGATTTTTATCATTTAATTTTACTCCCTTTATTATACAACTTTCTTTGGCTTAGCGGTGGCTTAATAGTGGCTTAGTCGCCTTAATTATTGTTTTATCGGTTTCTTGTAAAATAAAAACGACATAACCTGTCCATGAAGGATATTACAAAGAGAAAAAAGTTAAAGCAATAAAGATGAGAATTATGAAATATATATCATTACCTTCAAAAGAAACTGAGCATGATCCACGAATAACCTCTGTGAACGAGGCTGGGGAGCTGGCGGATCCTCAGTGGAATAATTCGGCAGATTCCCCAGGCAGTGATAATATTAGATTTGATAATACTGAGGATGAACGAGAAACCATGCTTAATAAAGAAAGAGGAGAAGAAGATATTGTGGTTGACATGGACGAAAGTTTGGATGCCCTCAATTACGGAAAAGAGGTGAGCCACTTCAAAATATTTTATATTATTGATTTTATATATTTTATGTGCAAAAAACTTATTTCATATTAATCATTTCATAGAAGAGAGATAGATCTATATTACCGTGTTTGTGCATTGCCGGTGTATTCATTCTAGCATGGATAGTTTCGGCCATTATTTATGGATTTTATAAAACAGGTGCTTCAAGTGCTGAAAACTTAGCTAATCGAATACAGTTCGATGATTTGTATAATAATAGCTTTTATCCTGAATTTAAAAATTTGATATGGAACATGGCTGATGGTATGTCAATTCAATAAATGACTTTAAATGCTTTTCCCTTTCCCCCCTTTTTTTTTCCTTTTCATCAAAAGATTAATCGATGAGCTACATTCTTTAGGTGAAGATGGTACGTTCGTGTATCGGGATCATCATGACAATATCATATTGGAGCGAATTTCAGATAGGAAAAAGGAAACGTTAGTCAAAGGAACTGATATCATCGATGTTAGTGTTTTAGCGCATTTGCGCAGATTCATGTTTCATTCATTTGTTTTGCTTTAAAATTTCTCAATTCGATGATTATTATTATTAGCATGATGGGACTCCTATTTTCTACTCTGATTTTTCTATCTCCCCGGATTCAAATTACGTTTTGCTATCGATTAATAAAACAAAGGTAAATATCGTTTATTATTATATCATGAATTTATAATATCTTCTAACATCATCTCTTTATTATTAAAGCAATGGAGATATTCACACTTTTCAAACTATTTGATTTTTAATATAACATCGAAATCAATATTCCATCTTACGAAACCCATTGACGATGATCATCAAGCGGTACTTTCTTATGCTCAATGGAGTCCTGTTGGTCACACTGTGGTAAGGTGATATTATGTATGGTTTTCCATTTTAAAAGCATTCGAGTTGAAGTTGGTTTCTAACTAGTTCAATAATTTATATGCCATAGGCTTTTATCAAAGATAATGACGTATATATATCTGTAGATTTAGTAGATGAAAGACGTATTACATTTGATGGTTCGGCTGTGGTCTTTAATGGTATGCCGGACTGGATTTATGAAGGTATTGATATTTAACCTTGATTCTACTCAAAGAAAATATTCTGAATTCAAATTAATCATTTGTATTTAAAATATTTAGAGGAGGTTCTTAAAGCAGATAACGCAATTTGGTGGTCTGTTGATGGGAAGCGTCTTGCTTATCTTCGTTTAAATGAGTCGGAAGTTCCTGAATATCGATTTCCTATGTATATGACTGGTTTTGAGGTTGCTCCCTATCCTAGAGAAGTTGTTCTAAGATACCCTGAACCGGGATATCCAAACCCGATCGTAACTTTACATGTCTACGATTTGGAAACACCGTTACGCTCTCAATCCGGTTTTATTCGTTTTGAAGATGATTTTCCAGATGATGATAAATTGATTACGGAAGTTATGTGGGCTGGAAATGAGAAAATTTTAGTAAGAGTTATGAATCGCGTTCAGGATATAGCAAGAGTGGTTCTTGTAGACACAAATACTCGTACGGGAGTAACGGTTCGTGAAGAAAATGCCGATAAAATGGATGGTGGTTGGTACGAGATAGTAAGTTTATTTTCAAATTTAATTTATTATCTGGTGATTTTTTCATACCCATTTGAAAATTCCAAATTATATTGATTCGACGTTATTATAATTCTTTAATAATATAGAATAAAAGTTGGGTTTACATTAAAAAAACGGGTAGTCTCGAACAAGACGCTTATGTTGATGTGGTGGTGAATCAAGGTTACGATCATCTCGCTTTATTTTCACCCATCGGCTCAAACACTCCAAAGTTTCTCACTAGTGGAAATTGGGAGGTTGATGGCGGCGCGTTGGCAGTTGATTATGATCGAGAATTGATGTAAGGATTTGAATGTTTGAAAATTTTTTTGAAATGATCGTCCATTGTAAATTTGAATATAGTTGTTTTAAGTTATATGATTGACGTATCCAATTATATATAAATCTATATGATGTGCGAATTGACGTAATTTTTAAGATTAAAAGTCTGCAACCCTAGATCTTACATTCTAAAATTTGTCATTTGTTAGATATTTCATTAGTACAGAGAAGTCTTCAACAGAGAGACATATATATTCTGTAACCTGGGATGGAAAATATATAACACCAATAACGGATATCAGTAGTGAAGGTTATTATTCAGCTAGCTTTTCACCGGGTGCTCAATACTACAATTTATTATATGAAGGTCCAGGTGTTCCTTGGCAAAAAGTATTGAAAATTGGGGACAAAGGTAAGTTTCAATCAATCAGGGATTTTGAACTTTATTCAGGAACTTTTTTACTCTATAGGTTAAACCATGATTAATATTTATTTAGATTTTGGAATGGTTTTGACTGAAAATAACGAGCTCAAAGAAATTATGAATTCCCTTGAATTACCTACAACGAAACATCTAACGATTGAAATTAACGGAACTGGTAAGTTTCATTTTATCACATGTTTTGTTGTTGAAGATAAAAATAATCCTCCTAATCAATCCTACTCGATACGAAAACAGCTTTCAATGCCATCGAAATAAGACCACCAGGAATGGATGACAGTGGAAAGGAAAAGTATCCGGTGTTATTCAATATTTACGGAGGTCCAGCTTCTCAACTTGTAAATACAAAATTCACGATGAATTGGCACACGTTTTTAGCCTCGTCGGATCGATTAAAGTATATCACGGTACTAGTTGACACGCGCGGTACAGGATTTCAGGGAAGATCATATAGATGTATCGTTAGAGGACGTTTAGGTGAAATTGAATCAGAGGATATAATTAATGCCGGACGTCATTGGGCGAATTTACCATATGTTGATTCAAATAGAATGGCAATATGGGGTTGGTCCTTTGGAGGATTTTTAACAACAAAGGTTATTGAATCGGATTCTGGAGTTTTCCAAGTTGGAATGGCCGTCGCACCTGTAACTGATTGGAGGTAAGTAGTCAAATAATAATTTATAATGGATTTATTCGTAAAATATTTATTCATTCATTTATTTCAAACAGATTCTACGATTCTATTTATACCGAACGTTATATGAAGATGCCATCACAAAACCTCAAAGGTTATGAGAATAGTGCTATTACTAATATGACAGGTTTCGAACATGCTAAATTCTTGGTTGTACATGGAACTGGTGATGGTGAATAATCTTTAGCCTTTTTTTTTTTTTTCTTTTTGCGGTATTGACATCGTATTTCCGTTACTAACTCACAATCATTACATTGCGTGCGTTCCAACCTCCTGTATAGACAATGTTCACTTCCAGAATACAGCTAATTTAATTGATAGGTTAACTCTTGCATCCGTACATAATTATCGTGTACAGTTCTTTACTGATAGCAATCATAATATTGCTAAACATAATGCTAATCGAGAGGTATGATTCTATGATACATTATTATTTTGGAATTGTACAATGTCTAAAGTATAATAAAAAAAAATTTTGCTTTTTTCCTAATTCTGTAGCTTTATTATCTGCTCACGGAATATCTTTGGCAAAGTTTTGGGACCGGAGGATAAACTGAAATTAATTCATTGTAAATACCTTTGCATTTTTTAATAGTTGTTTTCAAATGATTTTTATAAAAAAATTTTATTATTATTTTTCACGAGATTAATTAGGTATTTATTTCATTTTGATTTTTTTATCATCAATTTTGGATGGAAAAAAAAAAAATTTCCAAAGACATTGAGTTTCGGATTGTTAGAAGTGTTAAGACCATATAATTGTTATCAAATAATTTAGTTTGCATTAATTTCTTAAAAAGGAATTAAAAATTTTTTTTGTTATCTATAATAATAATCATTGTTACATCATGTTTATGAGATTTTAAATTATTGAATATGACGTAAAAAATAAATTTCGTTCAGGTCAGTATTATTAATAGTCACGTGAAACAAATACGTTCCGACCCAGTCCGCAGACACAATTAATGCTGCGGTCGCGCGTCATGATTTACAATCTTTATATGGTATTCTTTCATCAACTTTCATCAACGCGTTCATTCATTGAACTATCGGTAATGGAAATTACACACGGGTTGGTTCAGAATCTCTTTGTTACGTTATAATTCCTTGTATGTCATTATTATAAATTATTATATAATTGGCACATTAGACGGTTTACCAACTTACTTCCATCCTTTATAGTATTAGTAATATTATTAATACATATTGTCAATATCAATATAATATAAAATAAAAAATTAGAACTCAAAAACTAGAACATTAACAAACCTTTAATTTTTTGAACAACCAATAATAAGTTGTTTGCTTGTTTGCCACCAAAAGTTTCAATAAATTCTACCTTTTGCAATTTTGGAATTTTAAAATTTTAAAGGCGCGATTAAAAGAAGATATTCCAACATGCACTCGTCTACGGACTCTTATAATCCAAATAACAGACGTTTAGTTGGAGAGGGGGGGTCCCCAACAGCAGAATACATAGGATTATCCAATAAAAGGGGGACAACGGTCTCCCCATACTTATTGGAAGTGTGGAGAGAAGAACTGGTGTTTTGGAAGAATCATGACACTTGTCGCAGAATGTTTAACGTAAATAAATATAAGTCTTTTCTTTAGGTGTAAATAGATATGAAATGAAATGATTGTATACGCCGCAATAATAATATCATTCAAAGTTTTCGAAAGTTCAGCCCTTCCCATTATAAAAGACCGCTCAAATAATATCATTGTTATTCCTTTAACATTAGTGGGTACGAGAGGTGCTTGGAAGTCTTGACGAGAGTTTCCTTAGGAAAATCTTCAACAAGCTCCTCCATGATGGTGAGCTTGTCAATGATCACGTTCGAATATATCTACACATGAATGGTTACAGCGTAGAAGGACGAGATATTATCGATGTTAGTACTTAAATACCGATTGTGTAAATACGTTTTATGATTTTACGTTCATCCACTAACCTCTTCCTATTTTTGTTTTCGTAATACTAGACTCCATACTGGATGCATATCGCGTTTCTCCAGGTAATGCATTTAATATATCTAGACGATGACATCATGCTGTCTGAATCAATTGAAGAACTAACGTGGCCGCGTTTAAAGCACAAAAATGCAAAGAGTAATTAATTCTTATTTCACTTTTTTTTTTTTTCATTTGATCAATCGCTTCTCTTGAAATGTTGAAATTTACGAGATTATTATATTTCTAGACATTACAATTATGCTAAATATGTTCTTTGAATATTTAAAAGAAAGACCATTTTTGTTGGGGGAATTTCCTATGAACAATTGGGAAAATAACGTTGACCATGTTGACAGCGCTGAAATTTCCACTGATATTTTTGATAAAAGTGCTGAAGTATCTACTCAAATAGGTGTCGGCGAGAGCTGTGTAGAAAAGGAGGATCGTCCGAATGAAGGCGCAGCAAATCCGATTAACGAAATGGATTCTGCTCTTTATACCGATCGCTCAGAAAGTGAAGATAATCATATCAAAGATATTTGCAATGACACTGAACAATCTAGTTCCGTCAGGATTTTCTCCAGCTCATCTCCTCCACCTTCAAGCGTCGACGCCTCCGCAGATCATCTTCAGAATAACGAAGGCGCAACAAACCTAACCGATGAAAAGGGAGATGAACTCGCTCGCCTAACAGATATCACCAACTGTGCGACCGAGGATATGATTGCAAAAACGGATAATCAAACCATTGCTGTTCCATCCTTGATGGATTCACATCCAGCTTGGAATAGTATAGTATTCAAAACTTCCCTACACAAGTCAGCAAAGTTCAAAGTGGCAATCGAGGAAAAAGCACAATTCAACACAAATGTATTTAATGATTTCTTTGGAGTGGATCAGGAACGCGTTTTGAAGACGGCAGCAAAAGTCAAAAATGGCATCTTTTTTGGGCTCACTGTCTTTTTTGCAGGTAATTTTACGCATCCCTATCTTTAAAATCAATTTTTATTATGTTTATTACAGTCAAGTTATTAAAATTTTTTTTCCCTTTTTAGATGATGCAGCTTCACATGCTGGTCAAAATCTAAAGGCACTTGTTGCAAGCAACGGAGGTAAAGTTTAGTAAGTTATTTGTTGATTATTAATCTATTGATTTCAATTTCAATCTTACTTTTTTTTCTAATCGAATGATTTATAAATTTATGCAAAACAGCTCTAAATTAAGGAGAACAGCAACTCATATGGTGACGAAGTTACCAGTCCCTTGGTATAAGATTGAGAACTTGCGACGCAACACAAACTGCCGAATCGTCAATCCCGAATGGGTTTTAGAATGCCTACGAGTCGGCCGACGTATTTGTGAAAGTGCATTTAACATGGTTGGAGCCCAACAAGTGAGTATGATTATTTTTTTTTTTATATAACTTATAATTTTATGATTTTTTTAATATGATAATTGTACATGGATTATTTTTTTCAATCAGGAACAACAAACAATTCAAAACTTTTTAAATAGAGATATCAATGCTCAAGTAAGGTTTGGTGACGACCTTTCTAATACAAGGAGGAAAAGAAGAGAATTCGATGAAATTTTTGATGAACTTGAAGATAAAAACAAGAGGTATAGGATCAACTCTTATATTGACCCTGATAATTATGACACCTCGTACATCCAAGATCCTTCCTTCGTTCAAGAATGGCACAGAGAAGTAGATGTTGACGTTGATGATATGAGCATATTATCAGAAAGTACGAGAATTTCCGATTAATAAGAAGGAAACGAAGAAATTTTTAAATACCCTGGATGTATAATATTTTAAAATTTTAGATTATGATGACTACCGAAAAAAAAAAACTTAAATAATTTTGATATTTATGTAAAGTCTGCGGACTAAATTAATTAATTCTCTCGTTAGAAACACACATTATATAGACAATAGGAAATTAACAGATTCAAAGTATTCGTTGGATTGGGACACGCGATGTATTATTAAAACCTGTGAAAAGGAAGGGCAAAGGGACGGTATTTTTCCCGCTTTAACTTAAGCATTTCTACAAAAAGGGAAAAACTTTGTGGAACTTTGTCCGAACGCGCATTTTTTTTTAAATTAGAGCTTTTTTAATAAAAAATATATATAGCAATCTAATTATGTGCTTACTTTTTTTTATTAACAATATCGAAAAAGAATTAAACCTGTTAAATGAATTGTTCGTTTATTTTGAATTACTGGAAAGGACAATTTAGTTAATGTAAATAAATAATGTTAAATAAAAAAAATATATATATTTTTTGTGCTTCACCATATTTATGAATGAATGAATTGACCCTGGCTAGACGCACGTTAAAATTTTGAAAAAAATTTTTTTTAATTTGAAATCTACGCCTTCATTTTAACCGCAGTAATAATATTTATTTCATTTCTCAAGGTTTTGAGAAAGATAAGTGATACATCTTACGTAACAATGTTTTTTGACGCCATTTTTTACTTTTACACCGAATCTTATCGAATTTTCGGAAAAAAAAAGAGAACTCATGGACAAATTCTTATTTTATTTCAAAAATTTTTTAAAACAATAAAAATTTTATTTAAGATAATAACTTATTAAAAATTAAATACAAGAATTTTTTAAATTTTATTAAGATTAAAAAAATATTAAAAACTAAATACAAAAAAAAATCTACAATTAAAATTTTTTTTTTTTCCAAGTTCTGATAAAGCCAGGTAAGAAAATCCTCAAAGAACTTCCAACGTCAATTCGGATCCATTTCCGAAAGTATAATAGAAAAGGTTAGAAATCGATATCGACCTCGCTCAAGCAGCCAGCCAATTAGTGTTTACGTTTAATTTTTAATCGACTTCCATGAGATATTCCAGCGTAGAAAAAAAAAAAGTCACAACCTTCACAATATAGAGAAGGGGGTGACTTTTTTTTAAAAGTCCAACCTCAACCTTCACAAGGTAGAAAAGGTTGGACTTTTTTTTAAAGTCCAACCTCAAGTTTAGATAGAGTAGGTTGGATTTTTTTTTAAAGTCCAACCACCACCTCTATCGAGGTATAAAATGTTGGACTTTTTTGTGTATAAGTTGTCATTTTGACAAACTTATACCGTTATGTATTTTTGTGTATAATTTGTCATTTAGAGATATAAAAGTTTTGAAATTTTGTATAAACGATGGCATTTTTTATTTTTGACTTTAAGTCGGGGAAGTAAAAAAAAAAAAAAATTTCGGACAATTTATATAGAAAATAACAGCATTTGTCACTTTTAAAACAAGACAATACTATCATTTGTAGAGTTTTTCAGCCTCATCTAATCTCTAATCTTTATCAGCTTTCATTTCTCCTACAGAATTCCGATTTGCACAATTGTTGGGTTCAAAATACTAAAAAAGGATTCAATAAAAGTTATTCGATTCATTTAAATTTCTTAAAAGAAAAATAGGGCTTAGGATTACGAGAGTATTACAAAAAAAAATAGCACCTGAAGATGCATGTGGATGCATGCATAACGATGATTTTCTGCAGTGACCAATACTAAAAAAAAAAAATATAATTTTTCTTGTATAACTAACTGTTGCATAAAAAATTACTAATATTTTAATATTTTAATATTTTACAATATATTCTTTTCGAAGTTTATTATAATATTTATTTTATATTTTTATTTATATAGTATGGGTATGTATATGTAAACTACGAAAACTACGAAAACTACGGATGGATTGTAATACATCATTAATAATCTATACTAAGCATGATTACCAATTCCTACATATGCATTGCATATGGCCCCATCAAGCAACGCGCGAAGGAATATTCCCCGCGCTCCATTTGCATCCCTGTCCATAATCACACACATCGCATCCCTTGCACTTGTAAACTTTTCTCCCTCCAATATTCTGTATGTTTCCACATGCAGAACACGTTTTTG